CATCGCGATCAGAAACCATATATATATATATATATATATATATATATATATATATATATATATATATATATATATATATATATATATATATATATATATATATATATAAATTGTTTGTATGCTATAGATGTGGTCGGAAAGGTGCCAAGAGAAATCTCAATCGTCTACAAAGAACGTGGAATGTGTAATAATTTTATAATGCGGGTTTGATCCACAGCTTCTTCAAAATGCAGTTGGATACTAGACTGTAATTAGTGGGAACGTCATACCTCAACCAAGGATGTAACTCTTTCGTTTATCACAATAGCTCATATATATGGAAGCAAACCGAATTACAGTTTAGTTCCGTCAGGCCCCTAATAATTTGGGGATTGAAGTTTATTTGTATTTTATTTTCCAATTGTACCTCGCAACGATAAAAAACGCGGATCCATCCTTTTGTAGATATATCCATGATCAATTATTACAGAAGAAGCGTAAACGGTCCACTGAAGATTAGGAGATGTCAGGTAACAAGGATTCGAACGACCGATATCAGAACAAATCGTCAGTAAACATTGATCTAGATGCTACTGAAGTCCCTTCAGAATAAGAGTATATTATTTCAATAAATTCGGAGGAACATAATAACTTAGATAACAACTTGGACAAACATGCTGTCGCTTATGGATTATGCGATGCTTCAACACAGAGAGCCACAGAATACGAACTCAAGACAAACAACGTGAATGACTTACCGGCCTAAAGCAAATTTTTCATGCTTTCTGCAGTTGGGACCCCTACCCCTCAGTTTCCCGGTCCCCATTGTTCAACATGTGGATGAGTCACTGAACAATAGCATGGCATGCTATGCTTTTCTTCGGGAAGCAGGTAAACTCAACGAATTTAAGATAGTCCCATGGACTAGGTTCCAGGTCTTTCATGAACATTTCAATAGAGAGGGAACTACCACGGAGAATAACTGGGAAAGGATCAAGGAAGCGATCACTTCAACGTGTCGAAAGGTTCTGGGTCACAAGAAACACCATCACAGGGGATGGATTTCTGTTGATACAGTGCACAAGATTCGAGAAATGAAGAACAAGAAGACAGCAATCAGTATCAGCTGAACAAGAATAAAGAAAACCAAGGCAAAAGTAAATAAGTAAACGAAGAGGAGCATCACAGCTGGAAGACTTAGCAACGACAGGAAAAAAAGATGTCATATAAGGAAACGTGAGACAACTATGTGATACGATGAAGAAGCTTGATGGAATATAAAATAAACCAGAATGATCAGTGAAGAACAAGGAAGGCAAATTAATCACTGACATTGCAGAACAGTGAAGCAGGTGGGTAGATCGGACCCACTGAACCCACTGATCGAAGCATCACCTACGGAAGAAGAAATCAGCATGGCTGTCAGACAAATCAAGAGCGGTAAAATAGTGGGACCAGATAGTATTCCGGACGCACTGAAAGTAGATATAGCAGTAACTGCAAAGATATGCCAAATTCAATTCAGAAAGATCTGGGAGGAAGAGGAAGTACCAACAGACTGAAAAGAATGACACCTTATCAAGATAACAAGGAAAACAGATATCAGGAAATGTAAGAGCTACAGGGGCATCACTGTAGCTCTCAATACCAGGAAAAGTCCTCAGCGCAGTAATGTTAAACCGGATTTAGTAGACACACAACTTTGAGATCAACAGGCTGGATTCCGTAAGGATCGATCGTGTATCGACCAAATCGCCACACTATGAATTATTGTGGAACAGTTAAATGAATGGAATTCACCACTCCATATCAACATTCGATAGCATGGACAGGCAAACATTATGAAGGCTTCTTCGACGCTATGCGTGCTTGAGAAGATGGTCAATGGCATACGGAGTTCTGATGATGGACTACACTTTCTACTGATGGTCGACTGAAGACATCATCAACTCAGGAGAAGCATGGAACACAGTAAACAACTAGGATGCAGTGGAAGATTCGGACTTCTCAGGTGATCTAGCTCTTCCATCCAACACACTACAACAAATGCAGATGAAGATAGCCTGTGTAGCAGAAGCCTCTGAAGCAGTAGGTCTCAACGTACACTGGGAAAAAGCAAGATCCTTTGATACAATACAGCATGTTTCAACAGAATCACGCTTGACGGAGAAGCTCTGGAAGATGTGGAAACGTTCACATATATGAGCAGCATCACTGATAAACAAGGTGGATCTGATGCAAATGTGAAGAAACGAATTAGCAAAGCAAGGGTAGCATTTCTATAATTGAACATCTAGGACTCAAAACAACTCTCAACCAACGCTTAAGTCATAATTTTAAATACAAATATCAAGACAGTCTAATTTTATGGAGTGGAAACATGAAGAACTACCAAAACCATGATTCGGAAGACACAGGTATTTATAAACGGTTATCTACGTGAGATACTCCAGATCTGATGCCCAAATAGCATTGGCAACAACTTACTGTGGCAGAAAACATGCCAGATCTCAGCTGAGAGAGAAATTAGGAAAAATCACTGGAGGTAAGTGGGACACACACTGTGGAACTCACCCAACTACATCATGAGGCAAACCCTACATTGGAATGCCCAAGGTCAAAGGAAAAGAGGTAGACCGAGGAACACAGTGCGCTGAGGATCGGGAGTAGACGTGCTAAGAACGAATAGCAATTGGGTAGAACTGGAAAGGAAGGCCTAAGACAGAGTAAGTTGGAGAATGCTGGTCAGCAGCCCATGCTACATTAGGAGTATCCGGCGTAAGTAAGTAGGTGAATAAGGAGGAACATTTGGTAAGATTTTCGTTAACCAAGTGCCGATAACGCGTTCTGTGGTGCATGGTTAGATTTCACTTGACCTTGTCCTTCAAAATACAGCAAATTCACCCCCCCTCCGTTATGTGTACAAAAATAATTTGTCGTAACCTTGAATTTACTCGGGTAATCTTGAAGCCATTTTGTAATGAGACGATTTCTTATTCTTTCCAGACTGTCTCTCACTTCATAATTATCAGCCTATGTTAATTGGAACTTTTATCTAGTTGACCTTTATTGATTTTCACGTAAAATCCTTTGACAGGTATATGTGTGACCAGATTGTTTGAAATGTAAACGCAGCTATTTCACATTTTTCAGACAAAATCCGTCTTCTCATATTTCTGTTAAAAAAAGTGATTTTAGTTTGACAGCCATTGTAAGTATCAAACATTTATTTCGTTCTAGTTCGAAACTCCTTATCAGACCTCGTTGGAGACCACACTAGGGGTTAGACTTATAAACTTCAGAATCGGCGGTGAATGCTAAATCTTTAAACTAGTAAGTCAGTGCCCAATATCCTACGTGTCTTATATTTTTTACCTAACTGAAGATAATAATAAATTCTGATATTTTGTAATAATCAATCTCGTCACATAAAAGTAGACGAGAAAAACACTGAAATTCTAGAAATGGCGCTTATCTACTAGTCCTTGTGACTTGTCGAGTTAGACAAAGTAAGAACATCCAGAAATAAGACCAGTGTCTACTGATGATGTTGCTTACTGACTAAACCACTTCACAAATTAACAAAATCTGAAACTGGTACTATGAAACCTCTAAAATATAACTATTCTAAGTTTCATCTTGTATGGTATAATACGAGTATTTTCCAAGATTAAACATTAGTTCATTATTTCAGTTAGGTGATTTACAATGATTTTTTCAGTTCTATCGAAATTACAGCAACTTTTTTACCAGTTATTTGTTATTAAGTGAATTTCATTACTAAAATACTTATAAAACTAACAGATATTCATGTAAAATACATATCAATAAAGAAAACACCCTTAATTAATAGATCATTTACCATAAAACACTTCTCTTCTAGCTTCTTTTTTTTTTACAGACCTTTTATTCTCCTATTGATTTGTTGCTGTTTCTATGATTTGTTTGATGACAGTTCATTTGGAATTGAAACATTTTTTTCTGATCACACTGAGCCTTTCCTATTTTAATTTATTGATCAATCTTCGTAATGAATATTCAAGTTCTCAACAACAACAACAACAATATTATTAAATGTTATTATTAATTAGTTCAACCAAAAAAGCATTTTATAACTATCTAATTTGCCTCGTTATAACCATGTTTTACAAAAATTTTGTTAATACTATCATTGTGATTTGATCATTATGTGAAAAATTTACATGAATTACGGGCTTGTGACGATTGCTAAATTACACATTTTTGAAACCATGAATCGATCAATGTTAGACCACCAGTAGAAACCTGGAAGCACTGGATGGCCCTCTCGTCCTGAACCACTGAGCCAGAGGTTAGACGTTCGCGTGCAAGACCGAAGATCCTTGGTTCGAATCCTGCGAGGTGCAGGAGTCGTGGATGCGCACTGCTGAGGAGTCCCATGCCAGGACGAAACGGCCGTCCAGTGCCTCCAGGTTTCTAATAGTGGTCTAACATTGATCGATTCATGGTTTCAAAAAATTTATATATTTGCAATTGTACAACTTTGAGAATGAACTCGGAAAAAAGAGAACTTTTCATTGAACCAATCTCTCATGTTTTATACTTCATAGTATTCTTAAATCAAAATTCCATATCATTTTAAATTTACTAACATTGTATTCAAGTTATATCACATTTTCTTTTATTCACTTTCACTGTATGATCATCTTCAACACATTATCTATTTTTGTGTTCGAAATCAAAATTGCATAATCCTCAGTCGAAAATACCCTTTTGATCATGTTGTTTATTGGATAAACGCTATTGGCTCGTAGACATGACCTTGAAATTAGTTAACCAATCAGAATAACCGTATCATAGGGTGTAGGTGTTATTCATAAATTACAATTTTTAGCTCTAAGGTATTCACATATTGCAAAATTATTCACCCATGTAGTAACTAACATAATCTTATCTTTCGTTAAACAAAAAAGAAACTTCAACTTTTATTCAGTTCATTGCTGTGAAATAATGACATAAGTGAAATAGGTATAAGAAAATGCATGGAATCATATATTATCTTCGATTCCTAAGAAATCTCTCCTTAAAATAAACAATTAATCGATCTTTTTTAAAATTATCATTCCAATAAAAGGAAAGGAGAGTTAATTAATTTAAATATGAAATTTAAATTTACTCTCCTTACATCATGGACATTATTGCCAACATCCTTACCAGATACTGATTGTGAAGATGATGAGGCAACATTATTTGTACAATACTTAACTGAATACACAGAAAATAAGTATGGTTTAAATGTATTTTGTCCAAAGCAACGTGGTGAAGCATTTTTACAGAATTCTTTTCATTCATTTGAAGAGAGATTCTTAACACATTCTGAATATGCATTACTAATTGTATCTGGTCAAAAGGCATCATGTTTAGATCATATTTATCCCAGATTTCTTGTATTTTTCACAGCGAAAAAATCATGGACTGAACGAGTTTTAATTATATTTTTGAAACAACCAACATGTACTTTTAATTTCGATGTTAGTTTATTGAAACATCCACCAATTTTATTCAATGACGATTCAACGAATCAATGGATTAATGATGAAGAATCATGGTTGAAAATAACAGAATTGATAAAACGTGAGTGATTAAAATAGTTAAATCATTTTATTCAATATATGGAATGATTAAACAAATTCCCATTTTAATTTTCAGTTAATTTTTGAATATATTAAAGAATATATATATGAAAATATATATATATATATATATATATATATATATATATATTTATCATCAATTCACTCTAATCGATTTTAAGATATTTTTGTTATGAGTAATCAACTATGAAGTTAGTACTAGTTTATTTTTACAATAATTAACTTTTATGGCATGTTATATTTTATTTTTCTGAAATTATTTGGATATAAGATACTTGAATAACTGAATGATTAATTCATTAATTAAAAAATACAACTGAGAATAATAATCGATGATGTTGTTACAATATAATTACAAATTTTTAATTAGATAGTGACTGACTTAAAAGTTTAAACAGTTCTTTAATCATCATTACAAGTGTATATATTAATTACTCGAAGACAAGTGAATGATAATAATAATATCATGAATAATATCATGAATTCATCTTAATATGGTAACAATGGAATTTTGAAATTCCACCTACCATTAAAGATGTTTGTCTTTTTTCTTTTTGAGGATTAGATATATGTGATGTTGTTTTGTTAGAAAGAAAATTGTTTTTGTCCGAGAAATTTGATGCATTTTTATCAACAAATAAAACAGTTCAAGATGTTATGCTTTGATTTATACGAGTAGTTATCAAATTTCTATTGAACTATGTATTATATATATATATATATATATATATATATATATAGATATGTATAGGTAATTATCCATTAGAAAATATTCTTTAGAACGAATGCCAAATCCAATGTAAATGTAAATCAGAAATTAAAATTAATCTAATCGTTGAATTTTTGTCTTCATGGTAAACTCAAAGAATATAAGATGTGTTAAATATTTTCCAGCCGTAATCTTATACTGTAAATCTAGATATCTTATTGTTGACAATGCAAGCCTTAATGAATTCACTACTCAACGATAATATTTAAATTTGTATCATTCAGCTTTACATTTTTTGCGATACCAACACTACTGTGTTATTCTGTCAGCTGTTAGTAGGATAGTGATAATCAATGTTATGTTTGTCTAACCATATTGAAGACTGATAGAATCAATCCTGTCACATAGTAAGAAATTTGGACATTTGAATTTTTTACTAACTATCCTCACACACACACACACACATCTAACATTTTATCATAGTACACAAAAAAGAGACTTGTGATCATCATGTTACATAAATCGATCGATGGAATTCGATCAGTGTGCAAAGAAACACTAGATAAATAGAACAATGATCATTGTGCAATTAACAATTAATTGTTATGAATGAATCTTATATATACATATATATACATATATATATATATATTTTCTACATTATTAACTTACAAGACTATTTACAATGTTATTTTTCCTTACTACTTATCATATTATTCCTTTGTTTTTATGACTAATCGATATCATACATAAAGTGTTGTATTTCACATTGCATTGAGAATTAGAAAGTAAAAAAAACATTTATGATCATTTTAACCATACAAAAAACTCGATTTTTTCGTTCTCAGTTTATTTTGATTCAACTATTTTGTCACACACATTGTTGATGAGATCATGTTGGATTTTGTTTTTATTAATAGAATCTTGAAGTTTTATTATTGAGTCGATGAATATCCGAATTGTAAGATTATCAGTATATTCGTTTTAGTTGTAATTACTGAAGAAATGTACTACACACATTCGAATGACAATGTTGTAGAGGAACACGAAAAAGAGAAGGATTGCATAGTTAGACTATAAATGAACAAATACAATATACAATGAAACTGCTCCATTGACCCCCTGTTTGCTAACATCAAAATCTTTCAACAATTTATCCCTTTTTTGTTTATTGTAAACATGTCAATTATGTCTATTGATGGCATTTATAAAAAGTTCACAACGTATCACTTGATAAGTTACAAAACTGTACAATCTAAAACAATGCAGTGTCTGGTAATATGAACTAAAAAGAAAAATTCTTAAAATATCCTGTGCTGTGAATTCCATATCGTAGTAAACATATAATATGGAATAAAGCTGCTATTATCATTAATTATTAGGCATACAACAACTCAGTCAGAAAATATAACCAAGATAAAAGTATATTTGAACTCTAGGAATGCGATTACAGACTCTTGATAAATTCATTGATCCCGATTCTATACATCTATTTCGTATTATGATATAATTTATTTGTATTTTGAGTATAAAATTTTTGAAAAATATTTTGATTTATTTAGTGAATTTTGTTATATTTTGATTGTCAGATTTCTTGTGTATCACTTCCGTTGATTTTCAATTCTCTAGTAGATGATGTTGCATAATTTAGGCTTATTATTTTCTAGACCATTGATCACTTACAAATGAATTTATTTTAATTTTATTTCCATTAAACTTTTTAAATTTGAATTAAAAAAATATTTTAATTTATTTATTCTCTAAATATCAAAATATAACATGATTCATTTTTTTAATAAACTTGACAGTTCAGTAAATTAATAACTAATCATGACGGTTTTGAATGAACTCTTTATATAAATTGATTAGAAATATAAACTATGAAGTATTTAATCAGTCTCAAACTCCTAGGTTCAAACTCTTACAGGAACATAGGTAGAGACCACTGTAGAGTTTCATACAGTTTCACACAGCAGCTATCTAGTGTTTCATAGTTTTCAATAGTTATTTTATTAAAGTTAATCTGTAATGTAAACAAAACTTACCATGGAGTTGTTTTTCTTACTACAATTTATATGAATAAATATGAACAGTTTAATTTTTTAAGAGCTAGTTAATGAGTTGAAAGGTTTTTTTCACTTCCCAATAGTTATATCGAGGTAGTACACCTATTGGTTGCAGAAAAATGGTGGGCGGCCTATGCTCCATTGGGGGTAACAGGCGCAAGCAAGCAAGTAAGTAAGTAAGTACACCTATCCTTAAGGAGTTTGGAAAAAAGACTAGGTCCTGGGTAGTGTTGACTACCAGGGAGGTTGATCACAATGAATCAACAGACAACTTGAATTAAGTGAGTAGTTCATGACTTATTAGCTCTGTGTTTTTAAAGTCTCATTGTTGATGATGGAAATCCTTACGGCAAAGTGAATTGTATTATTTTTGGGTTCCAAATCCCTCCTTCCACCGTATGAACATAGCATCACTTCAGATACTATTTATTTGAGGAAAACACCTAATGACCATCATATCTCCGCACAGTCATCAGTATGACTTGACTCTCAGGCCATAAGTTTGTTGTATTAAATCTCAACACTATCTAACCGACTAACCTTTGTATGGTAGTATCTGAAAGACCGAGTGTTCTAGATAACAGATTTAAAAAAACAAACGATATTTTTAAAGATATATCCTCATTTAGTACGTACAATCAGTCAGTTAAAATCAATGTTGAACTTGGAGCATTTACAAACGATGGTACAGGTTTTCATTATTACATTTTAGTACAGCGAGATTAAGAATAAATCCCAAGGTGGTAGTAGAATTAGTAACAGTGCATTAACAGTAATATAAATTTTTTAAAAAATGAACTCATTCCAAACCATTCATGCATTGAATTAATCATGTTCTTTGTCAATACGAGTATATTCAAATTTATCTGAATTTTTCTCTAAGTTAACTAACACAAATTGTCCTTATTATCATATTTAAATTCATTATATGTTCAAAATATAAAACACTGTTTTTTTTTTTTAAAAAAAAAGAAAACTTATTCTTTATAAATTATTTATTGTATCTTTTTAAAAGTAAATTATTGAATTTTGATAATTGAAAGTGCAATTTTTATTAAAGCATCCTGCTGATGGGTTGATTTATTAAATAGTGAGTGAACAATGTTCAATAGTTTGAAAATTTATTGAATTTTTTTTCAATAATAAAACAGACGTAAATAAATAAATCGATAAATCTAAACAACATTCTTAACATAAATTATATCAGTTTAATTTGTTATCATTTTCTAAAAATGATGAGTAATTTTAAGTTGAAAAACTAATGAACAAATAAGAGTTAAAAGATCAACTATTCACATGATTACAAAAATGTTATGATGATTATACGATGTATGTATCATTTTGTGGATGGTGACATTGAACAACTTTACAGTTCGAATGAAAACTGCTAAGATTGAAATTAAACCTGAAAAAACAATAACGATATCAGTAATAGAGTAAAGGGCTAAAGATAGAAAATACAATTTAAATAAAATACAGCAATGAACTTTGTGAATGAGTTCAATTAGTTCAGTCAGTCAGTCAGTCAGCCAACTTTGACAGTGAACATGATATATGTGTAGGTTGGTTTAAGTAACATATTCCATTGGCACAGTGAGATGAAATTATCAAAGCAAATCCTAGATTATTAGAGATGGTAGCAATGTCAATGATTGTTTAAAAGATTAGGCATTGAAGGAAGAAATTTATAGGGAATTTAAGAACTTGAGATTTGAAGAAAGATAAAAAGTAGAATCTATGCCATTGTGAATGATTCTGAGCTATGTCATCAAATCTCACCAACCATTGATTATGATAATCACATGGACCTTAACCAAATAGTCTGGACCTACCTACATAGTTCAGTTCAATAATAAGTATCTTTATGAAGTGATGCTATTACTTCATTTAGCCCATTTTATCTTTTCTCTAACCTGCTATGTAAAACAATTATCAACGACGTCAGCTGATGAGGATTCACTACTTGATCAATTAATTTGCCGTCTTTTCCTGGTTTCCCAACTGTAATTCGGTAGTTTTAAAATGCACGAGTGATACTTCAAAGATATCCCTCACTGAATACTTGTAACCTATGAATATCCAATTTTTTTTAAAAGGTCACGTTTGATAGCAGCTATAAAGTAGTGCAAAACTGTTTATTAGTAAGAGGAAGATAATATGGCAAACAAGTACGTATACTTTGCTAACATTTTATCTAATGATTGA